AAGGGCTGAAGACAGATAATTAAAAAAGATACCGTGAATTTGGTGATTACCAGCGGGGTCACTCAAGGGACAATTCTAGGGCCTATCAGGTTTCTTGTCAACGTGAATGTGATCTTACATTGGGGAGAGAAAAGCCTTTGTATTTGCTAATGAGAAAACGGATGAAATGGATTACATTTAAAATGGATTGGATTGGATTACAATGGATTTTTTGAAAACTACAAAACGACATGAATAAACTGTTAGAATTCGAGTGTTAACAAGAGTTTAAATGCATCAAATGCCAACGTAATAATGCAGAGTACTGGCAACGAATGGCCGGATATAAGATAACGAGAAAAGAAATCCCTTCTGGACTTTGACAGAGAAACATGCGGATTTGCACACTGAACTAACTACTAAAACCCCAAATTAACAGGATATATTATGCAGGCGATGAGTCACAATAACGTGGCTGAAGTATGTTGACCAGACCACACACTAGAAAATGAAGGGACGACGACGTTTCGGTTCGTCCTGGACCATTCTCAAGTCGATTGTGAATAGTCCAGGACGGACCGAAACGTCGTCGTCCCGTCACCTTCTAGTGTGTGGTCTGGTCAACAATACAAATAAGAGACGTAATCATATACAAAATCCTAAGTGAAATGGACAGAGCAGATAAAAACCGAATATTTGTCACGGGTGGTAGACAAACAATAGAACGAGGGTGGAAAATAGATTCCTGATTAAACAACATGGATTTTACAAATAAGTTTGATCAGTATGAGAGAAGACATTACACTGAATAGGCTCTCACGACGAAGTTCAAGAGGTTGAATCCAAACACACGCAAGCAAGCACACACTAGAAATAATTTCTCCTATGTCATAGTAAACAAATGTAATGCATTAAATGAACAAATCCACAAGGGCCGTGACGAGGGTTCGAAAATACTTCCGAGAGGATCCCAGACGCTGTTTTAATCTTTTTGATGCATGTATTGTGATTTCTGTGTGTAATACATTTAGTAGTTCAGTGATGGAGATACATACCATACACAGATTCAACTGTATACATGATAAAGCCCAATAGACTAGGAAACTTGAACATAAAATAATTGAAAATTGAATCAGAGGGGGGACCAGATCCCTGAGAGATTTAAACTCCTCAACCACAAGTAGGTAAGTACAAACCCAGACCAACCAACCCAGTATATCAGGAAATTAACCCAATTACCAGGAAATTAAATATAGAGGGATAATAACCCAGCCCTGTGTCTCCGGACTTTAACCTAGCGTGCTAGGCCATTAACCACAGTTGCCAAAGTGTGGCAACCCAAATTGTCCTGAGTGTAGCTTTGCCAGGAAGCTAAAAATATTTAGAAAGAACTTAATAATATCAAAATTTCAACCGCATAAGATACCATGAAAATGCAATAGATTCCCAAGGAAATGGAGGACAAGATAAATGAAATTATAGTTCAGTTATCTTGAGATGATTTCGGGGCTATTTAGTGTCCCCGCGGCCCGGTCCTTGACCAGGCCTCCACCCCCAGGAAGCAGCCCGTGACAGCTGACTAACACCCAGGTACCTATTTTACTGCTAGGTAACAGGGGCATAGGGTGAAAGAAACTCTGCCCATTGTTTCTCGCCGGCGCCTGGGATCGAACCCAGGACCACAGGATCACAAATCCAGCGTGCTGTCCGCTCGGCCGACCGGCTCCCAATCATAGTTCCAGACCGGCTCCCAGTAATCATTGTTCTGTCATTGTTCATTTTTCTAGCATTATTTTACCATGAGCGGATAAAGCACAGTTATTTAACTTTGTAAATTGCTCAAGTGGCCATAGGCCTGGTTATAGAATATTGCAATATGATGGATTATATATGTCGCATTAAGACACAGAAAATATATTGTAGCAGGGCAAAGAATAGGTTCGTAATTACAGCACAGAGAATGTGTTGAAATAGGTTGAACAAATGTGTTAAAATAGGCTAAAAAATGTGTTAAAATAGGCTAAAAATGTATTGAAATAGGCAAAGAGAATGTGTAGAAATAGGCAAAGAGAATGTGTGGAAATAAGCAAAGAGAATGTGTTGTAAAGGGCTCAGAAAATTCCCCGTCCTCTCGAGCGTTAACAACGTCACAAAAAATTATGTACTAAGGTGTTCGTTCCTAACCTAACCTAACCGACAACCCACGGATAGAAAACGGAACATCTCGTCAATTTTGCGAGCCTCCAGGATTCTTTTTTTTGCACAGCTTGCTGTGACGTTGACCATTTATACGCTAAAATACGGTGTATTATGCGAGAGAACAGGTTGGTTTCTGTTGCATTATGGTATAACATATGTAGCAATGCTTACACCATATGTGCTAAAACAGGGTGAACAATGAACGCATTAAAATAAGGCTGCATAATGTAATACAATAGGGTGTACACTGTAGGTATTGCAAAAAGGTGTATAATGCACGAGATACATTACAGTGCATAGTGTGCGTTACAATAGGGCGTTACAATAGGGTTTTACGTTATATCCGTCGTACCAAACTGGTCAACACCACGGCTGAAATAGGGTACACGCGGCTGATGTCAAAAATAAGGTGTAGAGCGGTTTTACAACCATCATATATTACAGGAGTTACAGAAGGGTGTACAGATGTTATGACTGGGTGTAGAACACAGGTGATATTAAAGTGCCAGGTGTCGCAGCTGGGTGTATAGTGCATAACTTATAACAGAATTGTCAATACGGGCGTCCTCCCTCCATTATACATGGGTTTTTCATCAAGACGTGCGAGGAATGGCAAGTGGGATAGAGGAGGGTGGGAAGGGGATAGGGGAAGAGATAAAGGGGAAAATGGAAAGAATAGGGGGGATGTAAATACAAATAATAGGAAAGATCATGGGAATATAGGGGAAGGATAAGTATGGAATAAGGGGGGGATAGAGGGAGGCATAAGGATAAGGGGGAGGATGGATAAAGGGGGATAAAATTGGATATGAGGATCGGTCGGTCTACAAGCAATATACCTCATTGGTGATTCAGTCTTTACCCTCTTGTGCCCTCGTGTGGGTGACATAGACTCCTTCTTTAAGGAAACCGTTGTGAGACAGCTGCCTAAATGTCCCGTGTCTATCATCCATTTAGGAAGCGTGAGATTTGCGGTGGAGTCCTTGCCGGCAGGTGTGGCAAAGGTGTGTGTGCTTGCCGGCAAGTTTGGCGAAGGTGTGTGCTTGCCGGCAGGTTTGGCAAAGGTGTGTGCTTGCTGGGAGGTGTGGCGAAGGTTTGTGCTTGCCGGCAGGTGTGGGCGAAGCTGTGCCTGGCGTACCATACTACCCTCACGCACGTGTGTGGGGGGTCTCTCCAGGGGTTTTTCGCTTTGATAGTGCAGCAGCATAGAGCCAGGTGAGGTGGGTGACAGGTGCCATGGGAGCAGCACTATAGAGCCAGTTGATGTGGAAGCTAATACCATAAGAGAGGAACACTGAGGGCCATGGGAGATGCCATAGTTGCAAGTGAGGATGGCACCAAATGCCACGAGAACAAGTAGGTCTGTCTGCAACATTGCTGCCTCTTGTTCTGAAGATTCACGGAGCAAGTCTTGTCATTTCCAACGCCTCTAACGTGTGTATGACAGAGTTTGCATGCCTTATCATGCGTCTGACGTCTTTCTGAAAGTCTACCTGTCATGTCATGCATCTGACGTCTTTCTGAAAGTCTACCTGTCATGTCATGCGTCTGACGTCTTTCTGAAAGTCTACCTGTCATGTCATGCGTCTGACGTCTTTCTGAAAGTCTACCTGTCATGTGTCTGTCGTTTGAATGACAGAGTTTACCTGTCATTCAGAGAACATGTATTCAGAGTACACGTTACGATAGTGGGATGGGTGTTGGACAAGATCATGGGGCCCGGACTGCTCTTAGGAAGTATTGATGCAGTTTCATGCTACCCGGGCCACCTTTGCCGGGCTTGAGGGACTCATGGTAGTGCTTTAAGGTCATTGATCGGACGTGGAGTTGTTCCGGTAACGTTGCCCTCTGCTGCTGTCGTTTTGTGAACGCTGTGGGTGATTAACCTGATATAATATTATTTTTACTATTTATATATTCATATTGGGCTCCTTTCTAAGCCGACTATTCTCCCTTTCTCTCCTCTCTCACGCTCGTCCCACCTGTAACGACCCTATTCAGCCCTCACTACAGCGGGGATGATTAAAGATGCCTGGTGATAAGAGGTCACGAAGCTGTCTCCTGTGAGGTGACCTGTCATAACATGGTGACCTCCTGTGAGGTGACCTGTCATAACATGGTGACCTCCTGTGAGGCGACCTACAATAGTTTGCCCTTCATAGTTACCAGCCACAAGTTTGTTTATAACTTATAGTCATGTTTTTCGTATTTAGGGAGGGAGAGAGAGCGAGCGAGCGAGGGAGAGAGAAAAGAGAGAGAGAGAGGGAGAGAAACCCCTCACTTCCAAACGTACGATGTCTACACACGCCGTAGACGAAGCCAAGACCTCATTTTCCTGAGGTCAAGGAGATGCAGACGTTCAATCAAATCTATTTTTTGCCCACCAGTCTCTCGGTCACCACTCTACACGTCAGCCACCGCCCATGTAAGCTATAATATAACTGGCCGGAGCCGTGGTGAGCCTGGACCCTACGGTCTCCTCCACCACCCTGAAACTCCTTCCGCATTGCTCCTTTTAACACTTGTTCTACCTTCTCCAAGATCAACTTGGCACGAATCTTATTTTCCTCCCGCTGTCAGACGCCTGGCGGACGGGTACAGCTGAATACAGGAGTAAAAATGGAGTTCACTCCGGGGAGGTAGAAAAGGGGAAATAATAACTGTATATTTTGGCGCCATAGACCTAATCTATGGGGTTCTGCTCGGCTGCGGAATGATCACCACACTGAACTCTATACCCTTGTCACACTAATCATGACGACACAGGGACCATTGACCTCTAATCACTCACACTAAGGTTACGTCAAGGGCGTAATACTCACGTTAAGGGGAACATGTGTGGTCGCGGGCGGGCAGGAGAGGGCGTACAGCCCACGGCGATAAAGTCTCTACAGCTACTGAAGTCTGGGAAAGTTGGCTGTGACGAAGGACACACCATCTAGCGGCCGTGGCGGGAATCACACTGGATCGATGGCCTGTGTGTGTTTGTGTGTGTGTGTGTTTTTCTCCACACGGGTGCTGCTGACTGAGCCCTGGGGCAGCCACGCACCTCCGCCGCCACTCACTATACACAACTGACTCGCCACTCGCATACACTCACGCTACAAAAATTCAATTTCACGCAACTGGCCGTGCGCGTTCTTCAGTCATCGCGGCGCGTGCGCGATGGAGGACGCGGCTGGCCAATCACCAGCCGTCTCTCCCACACCTCGAGTCCGCCCGCGTTTTTTACCGGTTTAAATCTGGCTCCCGATTGGCTCCCGCCGCCGGTGGGCGGAGCCATTGGCACCCGCTTCCGCAGGCACCCAGTGAACGGGTTAACTTTAAAACGAACAAGCTTTAAAATGGAGGCTGTGATTTAGAGAGTCCCGGGTGGAAGCCTAGGGGGTGGGGGCGGTGACGTGGGCGGGTTTGACAGGACCCGCCCACGCGCCGCCCACATTAGCTACTGAAGGTAACAGAGCTCCTCCTTCCCCTGAGGGCGGCTATACCTTCCCTGCCCCACCCACCTGCTGCTACCCCTTTCTGTCTTAAGGAAAGGGTGAGGGCTCTCCTGCTTCACCTACCTAGTAGCCCCTGTTTGAGAACATGGAAAGGGGGGCATCGCCCCCCCCCCCTAGCACCTGGAAACCTTTTCTGCTTTTAGGACACGGAAAGGGCAGACATGTCCCAGACATGCACTCCTGTTAACCCTTTCTTGAGGCCACGAATTGGGCCACACACCTGCAAGAACACCTATTTTCCCGTAATGACTGAAAGATATGTAAGATCCACACCTGTTCATTTCCCTCTTTTAATCCTTTCTGACGATGAAATCGAGGTGGTAACCTCAAATCTCCTCAATAGTCCCTATCCCAGCTGAGGACGCGGGATAGAAATAGCTATCCTAACCCCTTTCCCCCCTCTACGTGCTATCCTTCTCCCAACTAAGTGTTCAGAGGGGATGCAGCACACCTGTCCCCCCCCCCTTCGGTAACACTATTTTCATATTCCCTACATGTCGAGCTCGCTGTATGACTTTAAAAAATATTCTCATTTGTATTACCACAATACAGACTCACATGGTAATAATTTTATCTTCATATTAAACAGGTGATTCAGATCAGAGACCTTGGATATGTATGTATACGTACGTACATACACACGTGTGTGTGTGTGTGTGTGTGTGTGTGTGTGTGTGTAATTATATATATACACACACACTTAGACCTACCGCATTGACTTAAAAGTGGGTTTTTTGAAGGGGAGAAACATGATTTTGTGTATGAACATAAATTATGTATTCGGTTAGAAGTGGACCAAAAAACATATGTTCTAGCGTATTTCTACCCCGAACGACGTAAGCCAGATGCTGTTCCGGCCCTGTAGTTATGTTTCGAATCCTCGTCACGGCCCTTGTGGATTTGTTCCTTTGATGCATCACGTTATTGTGATCTCTGCATGGGATGTTTCCGTTCCTTGCTTCTTGACTGTTCCCTGAGGAGTTGCTGGATTTCTTGAATAATATTTAGTAATAGTTCAAATGATAATGCTACTAGTGTTATCTACAACAATGCTAATAATAATAATACTAGTACAGTCGACTTGAGTGTGCCTTGTAGCACCCTAAGCATAGGTTTCGAACCCTCATTACAGCTCCAGTGGATTTGTTAATTGATATATCACGATAAAGTGATTTCTCTGTGTAATAATAATAATTTACTGTGTATTTGAAAGATGTACATGCCTGCAGTTGAGCAAAAATTGCCTAGCTGCAAGGGCTGTTTAATGCCTTAGCAACTTACAAATTAGATCAGTCAGCCAACAAGGTTCAGTCACGTGGACTGAGTAGTAGAGCAACGGCTTCGCTTCTTGCAGGTCGGCGTTCGATCCCCTGATAGCCCAAGTGGCAGGTCATTGTTCCTTCACTCCCTACTCCCCTCTTATCCCTCCCCATGGGCAATATTGTCGTACTGGAATAGTGATATTCCATCAGTCAATCTTCCGCTATCCTGAAAATCTATCGAAACTGATGCTTTTTTTTTGTATTGTTTGCCGCCGGAAGCGGTTAGTTTATTGTGCACCCCATACCCATCCTGTGAGCGGTAGCGCCAAAAGCATTACAGAGGGCACAAAAGGTCTTTTATCACACCTCATCTTAGATTATTACTTAAAGAATTTCATCTATCCTTCACTGTATTCCATATTCCTGTATGCATAACTAGATCTCCTTTTAGCAAGAGACTGGCCACTTCAACATATCTTGAGTTGATTTCGGGGCTTTTTAGTGTCCTCGCGGCCCGGTCCTCGACCAGGCCTCCACCCCTAAGAAGCTGCCCGTGACAGCTGACCCAGGTACCTGTCCAAGACGGACGGAAACATAGTTTCTTCGACAATTCCTGCATTATGTGAATAAATGAATAACACACCTGGTCATTCACTCAGTCTCAGCCATACCTTACTGCTGCGTGTAACTCTGATGAATGATAACAATAGCAGCTGATAGCAGCTAGCGTACAATAAGAAGCAGGTAGTGTGTTAAAAATACTAAATAATAATTTATTAATAATATCACCACTACTTCTGTTACTACTGCTACTTCTACTTACAATAATATAAGAGGAAAGTGAGCGTGAAGATGAAGGAAATAAAGTATATATATGATCGGGAAAATGTAAACATATTTTTTTATTTTTTTTTATTATTTTGGTTATTATTTGTTTGTTTGTATGTTCAAGCTGCAATTGCTGTTCTTAAGTGCATGTATAAGTAACAGTGCATGTATAAGTAACAGTGCATGTATAAGTAACAGTGCATGTATAAGTAACAGTGCATGTATAAGTAACAGTGCATGTATAAGTAACAGTGCATGTATAAGTAACAGTGCATGTATAAGTAACAGTGCATGTATAAGTAACAGTGCATGTATAAGTAACAGTGCATGTATAAGTAACAGTGCATGTATAAGTAACAGTGCATGTATGATTGTAATTCTTGTAATATATTAAGGCGATGAGTCACAATAACGTGGCTAATGTTGACCAGATCACACACTAGAAGGTAAAGGGACGACGTTTCGGTCCGTCCTGAACCATTCTCAAGTCGATCGACTTGAGAATGGTCCAGGACGGACTGAAACGTCGTCGTCGTCCCTTTACCTTATATTGTAATATATTTTTTTGTCATTATGAATGCATTTTAATTATGTATAAATATATTTGCAGCTATTGCATGTTATGGTCGCCATTCTGAATAACACGAACGTCGAAAATACTTTGTTCGTGCAAGACCAACATTACTCCGGTATTCACTTGTTGCAACTTTAGTGGTTTATTTTTTTTTGCGGCGATAAGTTGTAGTGAAGTTTATTGGAAAGTTTTATTTTTTTGTGGACTCTAAAAACTGTACACAGGCCAAATCTCTCCTGTGATGTTGGGTCTAGACGGAAGGCATTGATTCAAATATATAATTTCATTTGAATAATAGTTTTTACGACTATTAATAATTGATTTTCTTAGTGCACTGCGTTTGCTTACAGGTTCTCTTCACAGGAGTCTGTCATGTGAGTACTGTTTTGCCTCAATTTCAACTACGGGCTCACCATAGCCAGTGCTGCTTGGAACTTTTTCCGAGCAGCTGAATCTATAACAACAACAACAACCACTCGATTTCAATTTCATTGAAATTGAAGCAATACAGAGAACTTTCACGCCACATATAGACACGATAGAACACCTTAACTATTGGGATCGTTCCTAAGCTCTCAAAATGTTCTCTTTGGAGAGGAGATCAAAGAGGTATCGAATTATATATATTCATCAAAATATTGGAGGGCCAGGGGCTAAATTCGTATATTAATATAACATATTGGAGTGAACGATATGGAAATGCTGGTTACCTTGCGATGATTTCGGGGCTTAGCGTCCCCGCGGCCCGGTTCTCGACTAGGCCGCATGTTTGCTGGACTGGTCAACCAGGCTGAAGGACACGGCTGCTCATAGTCTGACGTATGAATCACAGCCTGGTTGGTCAGGTATTCTTTGGAGGTGTTTATCAAGTGCTCTCTTGAACACTGTGAGGGGTCGGCCAGTTATGCCCCTTATGTGTAGTGGAAGCGTGTTGAACAGTCTCGGACCTCTGATGTTGATAGTTCTCTCTTGAACACTGTGAGGGGTCGGCCAGTTATGTCCCTTATGTGTAGTGGAAGCGTGTTGAACAGTCTCGGGCCTCTGATGTTGATAGTTCTCTCTTGAACACTGTGAGGGGTCGGCCAGTTATGTCCCTTATGTGTAGTGGAAGCGTGTTGAATAGTCTCAGGCCTCTGATGTTGATAGAGTTCTCTCGCAGAGTACCTGTTGCACCTCTGCTTTTCAACGGGCGTATTCTGCACATCCTGCCATGTCTTCTGGTCTCCTGTGCTGTTATTTCTGTGTGCAGGTTTGGGGCCAGCCGCTCTACTATTTTCGACGTCTAAGTTATTATGCATCTCTCCCGCCGAATAGAACTGAATAGAATATGCTGAAATAGAACCAGTAAAGAACGGTGGATTGGCACAATCAGATTACACTGCATGAATTCCAATTGTCCACGGTTGTTCAACATCCTCCCAGCAAGTATAAGACATATTGCCGGAACCAAAAGTGGAAATCTTCAAGAAAAAATCTGGACAGTTTTCTCTAAGAAGAGCCGGACCAATCAGGCTGTAGTGGATAAGTGGAGCTGCGGCCCGCTCCAAGCAACAGCCTCTTGGACCAAGCTCTCACAAGTCAAGCCTGGCTACGGACCGGCTTGAGGAGTAGAGCTCCCACAACACAAATCCAGGTACAATCAAGGTACAGTTAGTTTTTTTAAGTACATATACCCGCCTCGTGGGTACAGCTACCCGCCTGATGAGTACTACCCGCCTCGTGGGTACAGCTACTCGCCTGATGGGTACTCCTGGAACTATGGTAATCCTAAACAAACAAAGGAACTCCTGCTCCCCCCCCCCTCCCCCCAACACCCTTCTACCAATGACCCCCTCCCCCCTACACAACCCCCCAACACCCCAATCAAGAAGTCCCTCCCACCCT